CTTTAAACATTAATGATCTGCATATGTAAATAGATACTTATTTTTATAGGCAAAGCATGGCACTATTAAATAGGAAATTCTAAACAAATGTTAATGATAGCATAGGATCTCATGATTTGGTGAATTATATATAAAATGTACAGTACTTTACCACACACAAACATACACACATTTTTATTATTTAGACTCTTTTTTTTCCAAATTGTCAATTCAATGCCATAGCACTAAAGTGCTTTCTCAGAAAAGAAAAAAAAAAAAGACATTATTCTGACATATTTTGCTAATCTCTTATTCTTGTCATTTTCAATAAGTTGCTTTTTAATTTAATTTTTTGTCAATCTCACATATAGAAAATGAACCTTCAGTTATCTTCTTTTCTGTGTTTTGTGCATAGTTCTTTCTGTTAGTACAGATACAGTATTCCTACTAAGTATTACATAAAATCTGATTCATACAATCTGTGCTTCTAAAAATTAAATCAAATAAAAAGTTATTGTTTCAAAAACATCTGTGTAAAAATAGGAGGATGAATTCGAGTTTTCACCTGTAAAATAAGAGCATCTTTTCCTGTTGCTCAGTTGCAAAGTATGTTCTTACCTATTATGCAAAATTTGCAGGCATTTGTGGCTCACAGTGAAAAATCTACTTTGCATTTTCTTAAATTTCAGCATTAACGGAACTCTCTTCACCATAGTAGCAGTATTTAAATTTATAATTAATATTTTATAAAGAAATAAATATTGCTACAATATATTTTATAGGCTAAGTCCTTCTAAACTGTATATCACGGGGTTATCAGAGTTAACATACTTAGCTCTAGAAACATAATTCCTCTTACTATGTTTTTTCATTATGCTCCTTGGCACACTATGTGTTCAACTTTTATTTCATATTGCTCATCAAACATGGCTTTCCACAACAGCACAGGATTTTTATTTCAGGTGTAGTCATAACTGTTTCTATTATTGTAGGGATATATATCTACTTGTCGCTCACCACAGAAAACAATGGCATCTTCTCTGTGGGTCCAAGATGCTAAATGTTCCTCCGTTTGGGCCAGTCTTTCAGGTTATTAATGATAGGAATGTTGTTAAACAATGAGAAAATCCTAAATTTATACTCCATAATTTCTAGACTAGCCACTTTCTTCCTTTTCCAAGCCTGCTTTCTGCCTTCCCCGACATGCATCCATGGAAATTTCCACATTATGTGTATTGCACAGGTGCACCTAGGTGGACCCTTATGACCTACTGACTCTGGAAACAACTACTGAGGTGCTGTTATCATTATTCTTAGGTGTTTACAAAGACCACACCAATTTACTTATTTGCTCTAATTTTGATGCTGATGCCCTCTTCATCCTTACTCATTTCATCTCTGGGGAATGTTCTGCATCTGTGAAGGAATATTTAGCATCATCACTTACTTTTAATTAACTTCATACACTTGAATGATGGTAAGCTAGATGCTAGGGAAAATAAATAGATCTGGTCTCTGCCCTTGTAGCCATTTAAATATTAAACCATGATGGAATGAGATACTATTTTTAATTGGCCAGCCATTACAAGAATAAAATTTTTCATGCAATTTTTTTAAAATTAGGCAATTCAATTGCCTTTCTCCATGAAGTTTTGCTTAATAATGCATATTGAAATATGGTAAACAGCTAAAGATGCCCAAGAAGTATATAATAGGTTCATTTTGGATTCCCAAAACAGTGAAAATGACCTTGGCAGCTGACAATCGGCACCTGACAGCTAGGCTGANTGAGATACTATTTTTAATTGGCCAGCCATTACAAGAATAAAATTTTTCATGCAATTTTTTTAAAATTAGGCAATTCAATTGCCTTTCTCCATGAAGTTTTGCTTAATAATGCATATTGAAATATGGTAAACAGCTAAAGATGCCCAAGAAGTATATAATAGGTTCATTTTGGATTCCCAAAACAGTGAAAATGACCTTGGCAGCTGACAATCGGCACCTGACAGCTAGGCTGAAATATTCTCAACAAACAAACAATTTTCCAGAATATAAATAGTAATCAGATAAATGCACTCTGTCACTGTGGGGTGGAATATGCCAAAGAATTTATACCATGACTAGGTGTGAAACAAGACAGAGATAAGGACATCCAACAACCACAAAAATTAGCATGAATACTATATCTATATAATAACAACTCTACTTTTGCTTCGTTCTCTAAGTTACTAAAATACCCACTACTGAAATGCCCCCAATTCTGACAGCACCCAATCCAGAACTCTCTTTATACCACCCAGCACAAGCCCACATCCTATAACAAGTCTCTCCTAATTCTCTCTTACCTATACCCAGTATTCATCTTACATGTCTTCTCCTTTGCCATAGCAAATTAAATAAATCTAATTTTGCTCAACTATTGGTAGGTTTCTGGTGATCTCTGGCTGGCAGTGGTCTTCAACGCTATGACTTGATTTCTGTTATTCTCTTTTATCATATGCTGTAACTTACAATTAGATAATCATATATAATTGTAAACAGTCTTACTTTGCTTTGTACATAAGTACAAAAGTTCAAATTAAGATGTTGATGATCTGGGTCCCCACAAATATCAAATTATGCAATTTTCCATATTTTGAAAGATGCATTGATGAAATAAGAAACAGAAAGGGAATGTAATTAACATTTATTCAAAATCTATTAAATGCCATAAACTTGACTTAAGTTGCCTACTTATGGGAATTAATTCT